CAATCCTATTTTATTATTCTTGTATGTCCATCATGCCTCAAATGGAGTATATGACATAGTTTATTAGTCCCATAAGAAACATTAATCTGGGCTAGAAAAACTAGGCCTTTATCATTTAAGAATGCTAGTTTTCCTGTGAACTGCAAATTCCCACAGTTTATATAAATGGTACTTTTTATAGCTTAAGAGTATTAAAAAGAGTTGCTGGTGTTGCCCTGCATTAAATGCTCTTCTACTGTTTTCCACAGCAGTATAGTATCAATAAATTACACTAGTTTGCATTGCTTTTCTATTTGTTAATTCACTGGTTTATGTTTATTTTTCAATTAACATGTTTCTTGCACATCATTGGTCCAGGACATTCATGCATAATATAAATAATTTAGTTCTGGAGAGTTTAACATTAATTTTTAAGCTAACTCCATTGAAAAGTATTAATTTGAATTGATAGAAGATGAATGAACAGTCTATCACTTTTAATCTACAATAGACATATATTGTAATAATGGGCTTGGAACTATGCTTAGATATATGTTGCACATTAAAAAATTCTGAAGTACTACTGTACAGGTTTCATATATAATAGTTCATTTTGCAGGAAGTATGTGATTTTACTTGCTATATCAAAATTTGCAAACCTTAGAGATACTATCATTTTAGTCTTTTGTACAAAACTCTAAATAGAAGGAAATAAATAGGTGAGCTTGGCTCAAAAGATTAAGCAATATCAGACCTAATTAGTAGTTCAATAAAAATCCCAGAGCAAGAAGCTAGACTGGGAAATTAAAACAAAAAATCCAGAAGTCAACAGCAGATCAGTTTTATACTCTTACCAAGTTCGCTACATGTCCATGAAGTTACCAGGAACCAACTTTTATTTTTTTGTACTAGTATCTTGATAATAGGGTTCCAAGAAGTTGTGTTTTTTTGGACTTCACAAGGTTCGTGGATACAAATTGTGCTTAAGAGGTATTATTTTGCTCAATATCACATAATAATAGGGATCATACATCTAACCAAACTTTAATGTAGTTTTTATCTATGGTTATTCATAGTCAATAATAGCCAATTTGATCTAATGGTTAAGGCACCAAATTACAAACAAGGAGCTTGATCCTTGTCCTTCCAGCATGGTCCTGTCACAGTCTCTCAGACCAATTTGCCTCACAAGGTTATTGTTGGTGGGGAAAATAAGAGGAGGAAGGGATATTAGGTATGGTTGCCATCTTAAGTTATTTATAAAAATAATATATATGTGATATAAATAAATATATTGTAAGCATAAATTCAGCATTGATTCAACTAACTCCAAAAAGCTAGCTGTGTTTAGAAACTCATTGTTGGATCTGTTTTAAATTGTTTCTTTGTACTGTTCTAAGGTTTTCCTGCCATCCCAATGTTGAAATCCTTAACACACTAAAACTCAGATCGCCCAAAAGTGCTTTGAGGCATTTGTGGTTTCACCCAGTCTTTTCCAATGTGAGGTTTTCTGGATGCATTAGGATTTCTCCTTTCAGCATTACCAACGTGTGGCAGCTGAATCCCATCACATCTGGGTGACATCAGATTGGGAAGACAACTTGAGTTTTCATTGGTAATAGCTGAATTGGGGAAACAGATGTTTGACACCTGCAAATTCATGTAAAAATAAATATTACTATTTCTAAGGTTTTCTGCCAATGCTGAACCTCTGTTGAAATTAATGGTGATACTGGTTTAAACATAAGTTCTCGTGTGAAATCACTTAACTGCTTCTTTTTACATTGCAAATTGTCTCGATGTTTCTTTGGGCAATTACAACATGTCCATTGCATTTAGTATATTGACACACTTCTAATTTACCAAGGTTCTTATAAAGAATGTATGCAGATTGTGCTGTGCAAGTAGAAAGTTATCTAAAGAAATAGCAAGAACTTCAACAAAGCCCACTGGAAGAATTCTGCATAGTAACAGTCAATTCCCTATTTCTAAAAATTCCCTGCTTTCACAGCAAACACTCCCTGGGGTTTTTGCAAAAGAGAGATTACTGTCTCTTCCCTGTGAACTGGGATGCTGCTGCTACTGTCTCTACAGCAGTTACAGAACATCTCTTCGTTCACATCCCTTTCTTTGAAACCCTAATCCTTTTATATTCTCAGAGACAGATTTATACAGAAATGTACAGAAAAGGAGGTGTTCCTATGTAGTAATTTCAAAATGGCCACATGAGCATTTACACAGTCTAGGTTTGTGCAACTCACTAAGGCAGAGGTGGCTGGAGGATGTAACAATAGCATTTGAAGGAAAGGGGGGTGATAATGCAGAATTGTGATGCCCATGCAAGGATAGCCACATTTTTCCCTCCTTTTTGAGAAATGGTTCTCTCCACCAGCACCCCTTCCCCCCCACTCCCCCAAGAACTTTATAAAACTGATTTTAGGTCTTGTCAGAGTTTTCAAATGGTGGGAAGCCATGCTTTTATTTTTTGTCCATTATTTACAATCCAAGGATGGATTTGCGAAACACATTTGCCTTAGGATCTCAGGTTGGCTTAATTAGCAATGTGAGAACCTAGCTTTTGTGTGTAAGATTCATTGGAGCAGAAATTGGAAAGCCAGATCTTGATTAATATCCTCAAACAGACAAGCCTGTCTAATTCATTAGAAGCATTATCACTTTAATTTATTTCTTAAATACAGACAGACAATTTAAAACAAAGGCATAAAATGAATAGACATGTCCACATATTTTACTGGTATTTTTTATGTGCTTCCTGGTATATGAAAACAGTTTTATGTATTATTTTTATTCTGCATATAAATTACCTCCGTGTTATTGAACTCAATTTTAAGAATGGTTAGAATAAAAATCAAGTATTCTAAACTACTGAGTAACTGAAATCTCCTTCATTTTAATCAGTCTCTTATAAACTCAAACAAACCAGATTAGTCCATTTTTTCCTATTCATAATAGATTATCAGAGTGGTTTCCCCTTTTACTGCAAATATTGAACTCAAGTGAATGTGGTTTAAAATAAATAAATAAAAATCAATGATAGAGATGTTTCAAGAAGGCAAATGAACAAAATTAATCAGTTCAGATTAAATGTACTGCCATAAAAAGTTTATAGATATTCAAATAGATATATAGGGAACACGCAAAAAACAGTTTACAGTATTCAGTACTGTATATATATGTTTCTACAAGGAAATTCTCAAAGGCTAAAGAAATAAAACCCAGAATAAGTATCAGGAAAAAAAAGCCATGAAAATATAGAAAGGGCAAAATGAATTTCTGAAGGATAAATTTGACTAATATTAGTGTCAGAGAAATTATTGATTTACATAACTGGAAACAAATTATTATATTCTGAAAGTGCAAAATGGGTCTTTTTATCAAAGGAAGGGATTGGGACAAGTCTTTTTAATAGGGTGCTTACCTTTTCTTTTGCCCTTTATATCACTTGAGTGAACATTTTCCTTTTGTTTTACATTCCTTCTTCAATATCACTTTTGCACAGTGATATAAGCAACACCTCTCAAAATGTTGTTTTCCCATCTAGTAATTTTACATATTACACAAAGCATAATATGGTTTATTTGGTTTGGGGCCTAGAACATTGCATGGCCGTTGACATTTCAACTTGCAAGATAAAGCTCAGACTGCTTAGAAATCACGAGATGGGTGATTCAATAAACTGCTCCAGCAAACTTGGTCATGTTTATAAACTTGCCTTGCTTTAGAATTGGTGTCTGTAGTCAATTTGAAATTGGTTGAGATAATGCATCATGCTGAGCTTTGATTAGCTAAGTCATTATTTGTTAAGCCAGCCACATTAGCTTGGGTCATATAACCCTTTAAGCCATAAATAAAATAGCATACCATTCAGTTGCTCTGGTGATCATCTCTTATTCTTTTATTTATTCTTTATTCTCTTTACTGCTGGCAGTGTTCTTTTGAAACAAGTCTTTAATCTGACTTGTTACATTGCTTAATAAGCTAAAAATAAAATATCCTTGGATTCAGCATTTCCTCTTGTTGAATTCATGAACACATCTATATTCAGCAGATATATTTACAAGATATGGAAGATACTTGTCAGTGTTTTGTGAGATGATTTTCAGCTTCCCAGTTCCCTGCCAACTTCCTACTGCTTTATCATCCAAGGGCTAACCTGGCTCAGCCCAACTCAGCCTTTTCTAGAACAAATGAAATCTATACATTTCTTGGTAGTGAAGTGAAATAGATTTTCAGGAAAATGAACTCCAGATCTAATTTTGGTAAACTCTATTCAGATAACCAGAACAGTTGCTTTGAATAGTCCGGTGTAAATGTAAGTTCATGTATGCAGGGCAACAATGTGTTTTTCTTATCAGCTACCAAACAAAAAGTTTTAGAAGGGTTGCAACATACTTTTCCAATAAGAAGATTAAAATGCCCTCAAGATGAATTTGATTTCTGAGAATTGCACTGGGGAAATCAGTTTTCTTAGGAGCATTAGTGAAGTGGCTTGCTATTTATTGACTTCTGATTTTATTTTATTTTTAAGATTTCCATTCTGGCCTCTTAATAGCCTGAGAATCTCTTATCCAGATACTATGAATACCATGTTCATCTGTTCCATTCTTACCTAAATTCACCTGAGGTTTTGGAGGGAAAGAAAGAAATTCTCTGGACTCCTTAGAAATAAAATCTCCTTTCCCTCTCACAATCTTCTGAAATGGCCCCAGCCAGAGGCTATTTACAAATATTGTACAAATCAACATACATATTGGATGGACACTTCAGAAGTGGTTCTAAAGTCACAGTAACTGGCTTAATGCAACATGCAAAGCCAGATGGGTTCATGTGATAAGTGTGACTCCAGCAAGAGTGTTAACTTTGGATGCTGATTTAAATTCATCTCAACACTGCTCATTTTATATTCTTAATTTGGTCACGTTTCCTGAGCATTTTCTCTCTTTTCCTCTCACTTTTAGGATACAGAGCAGACAGAATTCATTCAAGGCTCGAAAGATATTTGTTTGTACTGCTGAACTGAACACGTCCCTTTTCCAATGATTATTTTTGGCTCATAAGGGAAGAGAAAACAGTTTAGAAGATAGCAGAAAAAGTCAACAAGATGCCCAGTGAAAGAGTTCAGAGTAACTTTGGGCCAGATGCCCAAATTTCTGGGGAAAGCAAAAACAAGGGGCAGAGCTCTCCTTGCAACTCCTTACATAGAGCTGTGGCTACGGCTGTGACCTTCGAGGGAGAAGCAAGCACTGAAAAAGGGAAAAAGAGGAAGAAAGAGTCCAGGCCAGAATCAATCATCGTTTATAGGTCAGGGACGGAAAACAAGGTGGAAGAAGAACAAGCAGAGGAGGATGGGGGTGAGAAAAGTTCCAAGGAAGGCTCCACATTTTTGGGACACACTCTAGGAGATGGTAAATTCCTTGAAATAAGGCAGGGGTGGGCAATTAATTTCTGTCGGGGGCCACATGGAAAATCAGATCTGCGTTCGAGGGCCAAACCAATTTTATAAAAGGCCATTAAAAAAAGCCTCCTCCTCCAAGCACCTGCCCACCCGCCAGGCGGAACCTTGGAAGCCCCGGAAAAAAAAGGGGGATCGGTGGGGACTCACCTTCGGAGAGGTCACACTCGAAGGTGATTTCGAACTCCCAGCTGAGGCCTTTGCAAAGTTCTTCTTTTCTTTCCTACCCCGAGAGCACTCCGCACTATTTTGCAGCTTTGGGGGCCACGCAGCGCAGGGCAATACACCACGCCCAGCGATTTTTTTTCACAGGCGGGCCGGATTGGACAGACCAGCGGGCCGGATGTGGCCCGCGGGCCGTAGTTTGCCCACCCCTGAAATAAGGGGTTTAAGATATGTTGTGCATAATTTATTTGTTCCAATGGATGTGTCAGGGAAGGAAATGACACCTTTTTGCTCAGTTTTCAGGTGCTGACTTAGTAGTAGCACAGTCTACATGTATTGTGTTAAACCATGGTTATTTTGTAGTCAATGCTTGAACAATATGCGGTCCCTAAATTTGTACATTGCTAAGCCATCATCCATGATTTGCAAGCCACTACACATCATGCTTAGCCCAAACAAGTTACAGACCCAAGTTATACAAACCCATCCATAGATCTTTGATTCCCAGAGCTTTCTGTTTCGTAAAAAAAATAGAGAAGAGCATGACACATTGTTTCGCTTCTATATTTTCCATTCAGAAGCTATTGAAAAATACTCCTTTCCATTTCTGTAAAGTGGCCTCAATATCACTTGATGATATTACTTTGTTATAGTGTTTGCATTATCTGCCCAAAGGGATTTTTTTTTGTTCTCTGCCTACTTCAATAGGTAGATGAGACCAAGTAAACAACTCCACAGGAAGGTTAAAGCTATTATTATTGAGATTGGCTAGAATTACAGAATCTTGCAAGTCTGATTACATTGTGTTTATAGTTCAGTGATTTGGGGAAATGTCTGTTAAGATGCTTCCAAATATATATCTGTTGTGAATGTAAAATATTTTTCATTCGTCATTGCTCTAGTAATGGATCATGCACATCTATTTCAAAGTCAACTTTCTAACTCTCCATACTTACTGTCTGAAAAGGATACACAGGGGTAAATATTAGGATCCAATTGGGAGCAACAAGAGGGAAACGTAAGCCAAGAACTTTGCAACTTGATATTTTAGATTCTCTTTATTTTCAGCCTTAGAATGAGAAGCACAATACTTCAACAAACAGGTTGAACTCCCAAACCATGTTACAATGTATTCTGGCTTTTTTTGTGCCGTTCAGTTATGTTCTGTACTGTATTTGATCTGATTTTTTTCAATGTAGTTTTGTATGTTTATCAGTGCCTTGGATTGAAAGTTTCTATATCTGAAGCTTATGTTAATTTTCTTACACAGTCTCCTAATTAAAATGTAGAAAGTTCTTTCTATTTTTAAAGGACATATGAAAAAAATAACTATTGAGGGACTAAATTAAGATAAATATATTATTTTAAACCAAATATTTTTCTGCTAATCAGTTGTCTTCCTTCACTATTTGGATTGATTTCTCCTCCGCTTCCTCCCAATTTGTTCATTTCTTTTACCGTTTCTTAAGCCAACTTTCCCTAGCCTGGTGATCTCCAATTGTAATGAACAACAGCTCTATCATATCATGATTATCATAACAATCTAGTATAGTAACATGGTATTGGTTAGTAGCTTGATACCTGTCCCTGGATAAGGTTTCTAGGTATGGATGTGATTGTAATCATTGAAGTAAGTCCAAATTTACTCCAAGGAAGGATTGTTTAAATCCATTCCCAGAGTGGCTTGCTTCACAAGGATTACGGAGGCATTGACAGATAGGTTCACATATCATGTTAGGCCAAAACAAAAACAAAAACCCATAACCCAGAGAATGCCAGGTTAGAGAAATCTGCCTCAAATGCAGCAGAATTTCTATCAAAACAGTTAATCTCAGCTTTGCTTTTTGTCTTGTACTGATTTAGCTCTTCTGTATTCCCAGGTTCATGGGCTATGCCTTTAGATAGCAGGTATGTTACTTTAACTGGAACCATCACAAGAGGAAAGAAGAAAGGACAGATGGTAGACATCCATGTCACACTCACCGACAAAGAGCTACAAGAACTGGCTCGGTCAAAGGAGCTTCCAAAAACCGAAATGCCTGAAAGGAAGAAGGCTTGTGAAGTCGGGATGGATAAAGGCCCCCACATTCTTCTCTGGAGCCTTGCCTGCCTGCCTATTATCTTCATTATGTCCTTTATTGTTTCCTTTTACTATGGGACCATTACTTGGTACAATGTCTTCTTGGTGTACAATGAAGAGAGGACCTTTTGGCACAAGATCACTTTCTGCCCATTTCTAATTATCTTCTATCCTATCTTCATCATGGTGGTTTCTTTCTCTCTGGGCGTTTACACAGCAATAACTCAAGTCTCCTGGGCCTTTGGAGATTGGTGGCATGCGGTGAGGGATATGGAGAAAGGATTTTGTGGCTGGCTTTGCAGCAAAGTGGGCCTGGAAGATTGTTCTCCATATAGCATTGTGGAGTTGCTAGATTCAGATAATGTCTCAGGGAGTCTGTCAGCCAAAGGTTCAACACAGGGTGAAGAGGTTTCGTCTGTCTGAGTCTTTGCTTAGGATATTATGAATATACATAAACTGATTGTTTGAAGTATACACAAAAACTCTGATCCCAACTGGAGTGTTTAGAAATAAGACCACACATTGGTCATTTCTGCATGAAATATGAATATTTCAACATGAAATATTTGTTTCAATTTCTGTGGGAAATGATCTTTCTTTTTTTTAGAAAGCAGGCATGTCCTGTTGAAAGATTCTAGCCCAGCTGCATTTTCTATGCCTTGCTAATATTTAACATGATGTGCTTTGATACAGCCTCAGGCTGCAAGGAAAAGATGCATGTTTGATGCCTAGAAAATCTCTGCACATTTAAAAATTAAGAGTGATTGAGAAGGCAGGGTTGAAACCTTTTCTCTGATCAGCTTGTTTCCTGGGTGCATGGATTTTTATGAAATCACATATTTAATTCTAGGCTCCTGTCTAGAGGAAAATGGTTCCACCCATTTTCTACTAGAATCAGCACTCTGTATGAACCAAGGGATCATGAAATATCAGTATGCTGGAGAAAAATATCCTGTTCTGTGTTAGGATGAATATGGTTAATTAGCTTATGAATTTAGCTAGTCTGATCAGTTTCAGTTGGACAGTATTAAGCAGAATAATAGAGCTGGGCTGCAGACATTTGGATAACCATTGGATAGTAGTACTGTAAAAGGTTACAGAAAAATATATTTCTTTGCTGCCATCTAGTGTTTTTCTGAATTTTTTTGCAGCCCAGAAGTTATTGTGATTGCTTCTGTGGGAGAATAGTACAAAGATAAAACAGATTCCAAAGTTTGCTGATTTTTCACAAATCTTTCACTGTGGACATTCTGGTCCATCTTTCAAACAATAGCTGACAAATGCTGATAGCTGAAATGTATCTAACTGAGAGTGATTCCTGTTAGGTGCAAGAATCTACAGCCTGACTTAGAAATTAGAACCACAGATATGATTTTCATGAAAGAAGCCATGAGCCTAACATATTCAAGGATATGTGGAATCTGCTTCCCATTTTATCCAACCCCTTCCAATTTCAATTGCCAACTGAATTTTAAGGCAATATACTGCTGGTTATGAGGTATCAGTGGTCACACTTGATTTAATATGTGAGCAGAAAACCAAGGTAAATTTAAATTAATTAATGAAAGCAATAATTAAATCAAATAAAACATCTAGAGGAAAGCAATGCAGTGTACTTAAGATGACATGATGTCTAGAACTGGAATCACCAACAAAAGACACCTTCAATGTAGACTTCAGATACTCATCAAGTTTTCTTCTCATTGGAAATCATGCTTGCCAAACATTTTGCCCACATGATTTTATAAAAATAAATTGCTTAAGAAGAAGCTGGCTACACAATAAAGTATCAGCGAGCTATGTCCCCTTTGTTTCTAAAGATGAGGGCCACATGCTTATTTTCTAAAAACAACGGGCAACTAACTTCCACTGCTTACTGTGGAAGTTCCACCTACCTACCCAAAACAAGCAAATAAAACTTATAAAATAAGCAAATAAAATATAATAGAGAACGGCCTGAACAGGGAGAGTTACAAAAAGTAGTAGGTGGAATTTTGGTAAATTGGTGTTTTGTAACTGATTTTATCCCCAATGGTGTTTGTGTATGGACAAGCCATTTTCTCAGCCAACATTTTGTGAGAGAGCCTACCTCTTCAAAACCTAAATGTATCTACCAGACAATTAGCAGCCATGGGATACATCATGAGTACATGACTTGTTGACCGCCTCAACTATATAAGCTGTGGAACTGATGTCAAAAATTACACAACCTATCCAATCTAGCCATTTCTGTGGGGCAAATACCATAGAATGTGGAGCTACCTATGATGCAGAATTTACCTGTATTATACATTTTCTTCTAGTATATGCATTAATAGCCATCTTACTTCAGAACAGATCTGTTGTCTTCTGTGAAGTAAAGAATCTTTGCCCAATTGGTGGTGCTATTGTATTAATGTCTTTTATGTCTCTCTAAACCGTACAGTCTTTTTTTCATAACAAATCTGTGGTTGCCTACTATTACAAATCTTACTGCCTATTAAAAGCCATGCTATAATTGAAGAAGCACAATGTTCTTTCCTTCCTCTGCTCACACTTCCGGTGTATACTGATGTAACATTATGGAGAAACTTTTTTTTTTTAAATCATTTTGCTACATTCTGTCCAGGCAAATTATTTTCTCAGGAACAATTTTTGGCAAGTTGTTAAACAGTAACAAACTTGTATCTGTTCATAGCACTGACTAGATAAAGCCTGTGATATTACTACCCCATTCTTTCCATGATTGAAATAGCTTGGTATTTAAAAAAATAAAATAAATGCTTAAAAGACAATGGTAATGAATAAACTTTTGAAAATAAACATGATATGCTAATAATTTTTTACAGCAAAAAAATAAAAATCTTGCTGCAAACGTGGATGGGGCCATATTGTTGTATTATCCATTGATATTCATTACCATCATTTACATCTTATATCTTTCAATTAAGTTGGCTGAACTATTTTGCTGACAGCTATTTTAAATGTTACATCTGTACTATATCACCCATTTGTTATTTTGCTGGAATGTCCCAAGAGGCTTAATAGCTGAATATTTGTAGTGGGTGATTTAATGATGCATTTCATAATTTTGCTTTGGGGAAGCAGGTCTCCTTGTTCTTGAACAATGGCCCCAAAGTGTACCATCCCTAATTTCACTTATATTAAACTGCTTTAGATGGATTTAAGCTGTCTTTCTGTAACTTCTTTCTGCTACATTTTTCTTCAGATATACTTCTGAAGATTTACTTTACTACCCCCCCCCATTTCTTTAAGTAGTCTGCTACTAAAAAAAAAAAGTCTTTGAAAACTTTGGATTTAATTCCAGTTTCATTCATCTTCAAAGGCTTCAGTGATATTAAAATAGGTTAAGTAACATCAGGATGTACAGGCAGAAATGAAGCTGCTTTGTGGCTCCTTCAGAACCAGAAGAATCTGTGAATTTTTTTTTATATGAACAATGTCATTTATTAAAATAAAAAGGTACTTTAACTAGCCAACTTTTATCTTCCTCATTCTTCTTAGTTTGGAAGTGTATTCAGGAGAGGACCCTCTCTTCACCTTCAAAAAAAGAATTAACTCTTGGGAAAATAAATTATAAAATGAATCTAAGGGAGTTGAGCAGTTAAGAAATATGAAATATAAATAAAATAAAGTTTCAGGAAGGATGATTCCCAATTGATTTCCAGAGGACTGTGTTACTCCCAAGAAATTTAACTAATTAATTAAACCATGTTTAATTAAACCATGTTTAATTAAACCATGTTTAATTAATTAAACCATATGTTTAATTGGATTTTTTTTGTGCTGATTTGCAATAAATTATGAATTTGAGGTAGCACATGCTGCTTTGGGAATAATTTTTGACCACATTTGAAATTATGTTATGGCACGTAAGGTAAAATTAATATATGATTGGAAACTGTTGGTTTTTTAAGAATAATTTAACCTGGGAAACAAAGGCAGGCTATCTGGATGTTTGGTAAATAGAGTTTCTTCTGAATTAAAATATGCTTTACTCTGTAGCTTGAGTAAACCATCTGTATTCAAGTTCTTTTTAGGTCACAAAAATAATAATTACCTAGCCTGTGAGATTTGTTTTGGGATTGAATTGGAACTTTCTACATATAAAATAAATAGCTACAGCTCTTCCTCACAACAATCTTCTACAAATATCATGGAATTTTACTCAGCTATATCTTATGTTTCCTGATTCTTATGTGAGGCCAGCCTTTTCTCAAAACATCTTTTCAAATCTCAGAACATAATTACTTCCTGGAGAGTTCCTTGCTATGATTTATTTTAATAAAATGTTTCTACCACATCAAAATCTGTCCACATCTTCATCTGCTTCAGTTATTTCCACCCGGAGCAAGCTTCAGAGTCTCAATGAATACATTGCTTCAACATGGAGGAAGTGGCTTATTTAACATCACACAGAATCCATTCATACAGATTCAGGCCACAGCTGCAGTTCTTGAAATGAGACGCTCTTTCTTTGGATACAGCAAGAAGTTATTGTTTTTCATTTTAAAGTTTAGCGCAGTATGCTCTTGCTTCAGACCTGGGTGTGGCAAAATCAGGCCTTGTTTAAATGGACATCACATTTGTCAGTGGAAATGAGCAAGATTCCTTCAAAATCCATGATTCCTTCATCTTGGTAGAATTTCTAAACATGTAAGTTTAGAAATGGTACAATCTAAAAATGCTGTTTAATATCATGATGCTTCCTGGCAAGTATATACTGTAACTGTACAGTACTAATAAAAGAATATTTTTATCTCGGGGTTGACATGGTGCTGTCTGTGCTTGCCTGTTTTCTTGCAGACATTTCATTACCCAAACTAGGTAAACTAGCACTGATGATGTTATCTAGTTTGGGTAATGAAACATCTGCAAGAAAATAAGCAAGCTCAGAAAGCACCAAGGCCCCCTGTACAGTACTAAGTCAGAATGAAGTTTGTTCACCTTTTGCTCCATGTCTTACATTTAACTTTATAAGTAATCCTCAAAGTGGGACCAGAATTTCCATGGCTAAGCAAGGTGTTTGCTAAGTGACTTACGCCTGAGTTTATTATCTTTCTTGCCATGGTTGTTAAGGAAATTGCTGCAGTTGTTAAGTGATTCAGATAGTCATTAAGTGGATCCAGCTTCCCTTACTGACTTTGCTTGTGGGAAGCCAGCTGAAAAGATTGTGCATGGCAATCATGGGACACTTCAACTATCATAAATACATGCCGGTTGCCAAGTACCTGATTTTTGATCACATGACCATGGAGATGCTGCAATGGTTGTAAATGCAACAACAGGTTGTAAGTCACTAATTTCAATGCAGTTGTAATTCTGAATGGTTGCTAAGTGAATAACTGTAAATCAAGAATTTCCTGTACAGTTGCATCTCAGATTTGCAAGGAATTGTACCTAGCCAACATTCACTGTGCCAGAAAAAAAAAGTAAGCAAGTTTATTAAGGAATGGAAGGCTGCAGCTTAGATTAACCAAATCAAAAAAAAAAAATTAAGCAAGTCCATTAAGAAATTCAAGGTTCTTTAGCTGGACTGTCTATTGCCAAATGGTCACTGCAGGTCGCACATTCTGAAAGCTACTTTCAGGGAAGACCTAGTTTGCTCTTAGAGGATACACCTAGACTCTAGGGTTTTATGCTAAATTAAGAAATCACACACAAAGGAAATGGC